ATATATATATATATATAAAATAATATTAAAAAAAAAAAAAAAAACGAAGAAGCATAGCCTTTACTCATCTACACTATTTTAAAAGTTAAAAAAACTAGATAAATTGCCTGGTGAAGGTGGACGGAAGGGAGAAAGAAAGAGAGAGTGGCACGCTGACCAAGACAAATACTAGATTCTTGGGTTGCTTGCTTCTCGTCATTAGTTTTCGATGAAACTTCTTAAGTGTCCCTTTGTCTTTCTTTGGACCCAACTACTACTCACAAGACAAGATGATTAGCATACTAATTAAGTTTAATTAGCAGACTCTCTCTCTCTAATTAGATAGTGGTCAAAACAACACCCCCGGACATTGGTGGGTTTCTTTCTGTCTCTTCTATATTTTCTATTAGCGCGTGCGTGGAACATTGATGATTCATGGATAACAGGACATCTCCTCCGTCACACTTTTCTAAGTTGTTGATGGATTTGGATTAGATAGATAAATAGATGGACAGAGCAACAAAGAAAGGCACAGACCCAACCAGGAAAAATACATTACAGGGAAAGAACGAGAGAGAGAGAAAGAAAGACAGTCGGTGCGACCCAACACCCTCTGAACCAGTTAGTGCGAGGAGCTGCTGCTGCTCACAACTCTCTCCTTCTCAACTCAACAGCTGCTTTCTTGACTTTAAAGTAAGGTAATTGCTACTTTCAATTGCTTTCTCACTTCTTCTATCTTTCTATCCATGTCTTTAGGTGCTGTTCACATCCACAGCCATACTCCTCACCACATGTATCTTGATTCTGCCTAATTGTCTGCTGCTGTTTGGTTCTGTCTCCTCGACTCCCCTACTGCAAGCTAAACTAGGACTACTCTCTCTTATATACTGTGTTTGCACTCATTTATGCATACATATAGCTTGAAATTTATTCATGTTCTTAATTATATGTGTGCGCTCGTCCACCACTTAATTCCACATCAGTAATCTTTTTACCTTTTCACTTATCTATTAATCTTATCTTGAAGCTACATCCCCTTCCCCTATCCAGGCTATAGCCAATTAATTTTGCAAATCACAATTACAATGATATTATTTCTTGTAATTGTTTGTGATTTATTTTAATTTTAATTTTTTTTTATGGACTGGAAATTTAACACCCACCATTTCTACCAATTAACATTATTGGAGATTGTTTCATCAAATGTCATGATGATATTTCATATCTTGCCTTCTGTATTCATATCGTTGGAGAGTATTTATGTATATACACGCTTCTTCGCATGCCTGCTTGTTAATTGCTTCTCGGTCATCACATCTAATCTTTTCACTGCAGGGGAATTCAGTAATCTAGCTATATATGGCTTTCATCACAACTGCTGAAGCCTGTGACTCCAACGTACCACTCTTGGCATCTGGTGACTTGCGAGTTCTGGCCCCCGTTTTCAAGATATATGGCCAGAGCCGGGCATTCTCGGGTCCCATTGCCACTCTTAAGGTGTTCGAGGACAACGTGTTGGTCAGGGAGCTTCTTGAAACCGAAGGTGAAGGAAGGGTTCTTGTTGTTGATGGAGGGGGGAGCATGAGGTGTGCTTTGGTCGGAGGGAACCTGGGGCAGTTGGCTCAGACTATGGGGTGGGCTGGGATTCTAGTCAATGGCTGCATAAGAGATGTAGATGAGATCAATGGGTGTGATATAGGGGTCAGGGCCTTGGGATCCCATCCTACGAAATCCTCCAAAAAGGGCGTTGGTGAGAAGCATGTGGCGGTTCACATTGGAGGGACCTTGATTTGCGACGGGGAATGGCTGTATGCTGACAGTGATGGCATTCTCATATCAAAATGCGAACTCTCTCTTTGAGCTACCACTTTGTTCATCCTTTCCAACACCATGCAATGTTAGTTGAGCTTTTTAGAGGGATGGATTCTCAGTCACTTTGGGAAAATGTTTCTTCTCCGTTATATGTAGCATTGTTTTCATTAAATAAACTTAATTTAGGAATCAATTTCCCGCTGCACAAGAACAATTCTTTGTATTTGTATCTTACAAAGCAATTTTATTTTCTTTTTAGTAACATGTCAAGTGCGGTAGCTCCATAAATAAGCACGGTGTTTTTTCGGCTGGGAAGCAGGAGCATGCATATAGATGGCTTGAGATATAATTCAACTTGTTGGATATGTCCAGTTAGGTTAAATTTTGTATGAATATTATAAATATTTATAAATTGGGTTTATATTACTAATTTTTATGAATTTGTATTTAGAAAAAAATATATAACATGTACTATAATTGTAAGATATTCTCAATATTATATTTAATTTTCACACCTTATACCATTATTAAATTTTAGTTACCTTTTTTTCTCCAACAAAAAAATAATTTTTTTTATTATGGTTAATAAATCTAAAAAGAAGTTTGCTAACAAGAAGTTCACTAAAAAGAGCTGGGTCAAGGCATTTCAATCCATGAACAAAGCATTTTAATCCATGAATTATCAAATATAAAGATAAAAAGAATACAACATATATGAATTAAATTTTAAAAACCTTAACTCACCATCCAACATGTAATATCTATTTTTTAATTTTTTAATTTATTATCATTTATAATAATTATATTATTTGATGGTTGAATCAGTCAAATAATACAATTATTATAAATCTAACACTTGTTTTTAAATACTTGTAGTAGTAATATATGTTTAATTCGTTTATGTTGATACACAAGTTTAGTTATCAAAATTTAAATATGTGTTTATTGATACTTTTAAAAAAATATTTTTTATTTATATATATATATAATAACAGTAGTTAAAATTATATAAAAAATAAAAATTTAATTTAATGTTAAAAAAAACACTTCAAAAATTATTAAAAAAAAAAAACCAATAGCAACACGATTTAGATTTAGAAGGCCCTGAGAGGCCCAAGCAACCCCCAGAAGTGAGCACATATTGAAGTACAAGCAACCAGCCGCTGGAGGGATCGATGGTTTTTGATAGATTGTTATTTTAGAGAAAGAGGAAGAGAGAGAGAGATAGAGGTGGAGATGATGGATGGTTTGCCGAGCTGTTTGATCAGCGAAGAGATATTGTGGAAGATGTTGGATTTGCAGACACTGTGTACAGTGGCTTGTGTCAGCAAATCCCTGCGCTTCTCCGTGGACACCGAGGTCCTTCCTTCCCTGGCTTCTCTCGATCTCTCCATTGTATCAATAGATGAACACACTCTTTATCACATCCTGAGTCGGTTTAAGAGCCATAGTACACTGACCCTTAATTGCCAACGCCTCTATGATTCGTCGCTCCTCCCTTTTTTGGCTCCACAAATCCAACAGCTGAATCTTTTAAGCTGCTCTTTACTCTCTTCTTCAGTTCTTAATTCTATAGGAGCTAACTGCCCCTTTCTCAGGTAAATAAAGCAACTTTTAGTCTCTTTAACATTATTACTATTAAGGATTTGGGGATGATGTTAATTAGACCCTGATTAAAATGGTTATGATATTTTTGTTCTCACTCTTTATTGGTGTTTTATCTTATGGAGCAATTTTCTTTAAAAAGTTCAGAACTTTCATTCAAAGTTTTGTTTTTTGTCATTTGATCAGCCACTACCACTCTCTTTCCGGTTACTCCTTTTAAAATACCAAGTACTAGTTACTGATTAAAGTGAAAAATTCAGCTGATGGTCTATATTAATGGAGAAGATTTTGTTTGGGTTGTCAGGGTGCTTGCAGTTGAATTCGCTGACCAGGGCTCACCACCTATTTTGTTCAGAAAGAATGTTGCCTACATGCTTAACAAGTGCCAGTATTTGGAGGTGAAATTGTTTCCATTCCATTTGCGTTTATTAATTGCTCCAAAATTGTTCTATTTTCATACATGAATGTGTAATTTCCCTGTCGGCTGATGTTTTTGTCTTCTCTAACGATAGCGTCTCTCTCTAAAGATCAAGGGGACAGAAGTTGATGCGAGTGCTTTCCAGTCAATTGAATTCTCCCTGCCACGAAGTATCAAATTTCTCAAGTTGAAACCGATGCTTGAAAATAATGCAATCCATCTCGCTAACAGACTTAGAGTTTCCAAATCACCATCGTCCTCTGGTTTTGTATTGCAGTTCTTGTCACTTCTCTTAGATGTGATATCGGACAGGCTACTTGTCGCCATATCCAACTCTCTTCCTCTTTTGGTAGAGTTGCATCTTGAAGATAGACCAGATAAGGAACCATTACCTGGCGTCGATTTGACCAATGGCGGGCTTCATTTCTTAGGCTCTTGTCATTTCCTGACTGACCTCTCCCTTAAACGTAGTAGGCAGAACTACCAAGGATCATTTAAAAGAATAAATGATATGGGGATGTTTCTGCTTTCACAGAGGTGCAAGGCTTTGGAATCAGTGAGGCTCAGTGGATTCTCTAAAGTTAGTGATGCTGGCTTTGCATCTTTGCTGCACACCTGCCAGAAGCTAAAGAAATTTGAAGTTCGAAATGCCTTTTTATTGTCGGACTTGGCCTTTCATGATCTCATCCAAGCCCCATGTACCCTAGTTGAAGTGAGACTATTGTCCTGCGGGCTCATAACAAGTGAAACTGTTAAGAAATTGGCCTTTTCTAGGAGCTTGGAGGTGCTTGACCTTTGTGGCTGCAAGAGTGTAGCAGATTCATGCCTCAGCTCCATTTCATGTCTTCAAAGATTAACGACTTTGAATCTCACAGGAGCTGACATTACTGATAGTGGTTTATCAGTTATTGGTCAGGGGAACACACCCATTTCGTATCTGTGTCTTAGAGGATGTAAGAGGATAACTGACAAAGGAATCTCTTTTTTGCTGTGTGGTGGTGGGGCAATTGCGCAAACATTGTCAGCACTGGATTTAGGTTACATGCCAGGAATATCAGATAATGGCATTCTTACTATTGCTACCTTTGGTAGAGAGATCACTGAATTGTGCATTAGGAGTTGCTTTTATGTGACTGATTTGGCTATGCGAGCACTGGCTACAAAGAGAAGGTCACAAGACAGAAGTAAACAACTTTGCCGAGTTGATATTTTCAACTGTGTTGGGCTATCTGCTGATGCACTGAAACTTCTAAGGAAGCCTTTATTTCGTGGACTGCGTTGGATTGGTATTGGGAAAACTCATTTAACAAGTAACGAAGACACCATGATTACTGAAATTCAGAAGGAACGCCCATGGCTGACTTTGTGTTTGGATGGATGTGAAATGCAATGTCATGATGGATGGCAGTTCCATTCGCCCTAAAACAGAATTACTTTGATTTGTTTGAACTTCCTTTACGTATTGATGTATTTAAGACAGGCTTTGCAATGAGAGTTGGGAGCTTGATTTTGCATAATGGAACTTAAAAGGTAAATGCCTTTCATGTTATGATTTCAAAGTTGAATTGTACATGCATTTAATTTGTCACTTTTCAAGTTCTTATTTCTTAAAGCATAGATCTCTTAACACAGTCAAGTTAAAAAAGAAATTGAATTTTAACAAATCTCTATTTGAGCCCACTCCCAAACCCTTTGAAAGCACTAACTACAATACCAAATTTCAAGGTTTTAGATTTTGTGTTAGAGCCCGATACTTGTGGCATGGTGTGGTGGTTGACGAGGAGGCGAAATGACAAACATGGAGAGCTTAGTCCGACAAGAGGAAGACCTGACCATGTCCATTTCACGGAACGAAAAGTGATTCTAGTAACGAGAGACTTGGCCATGGCACTGTCCTTGAAGGAGAAATTTCTTGTCCTCACCCACCCCCGCGACATCATTAAAGAAGACAGAAGACTGCACTATCATCGACTGCAATTGGTCTTCAGGCCATATTTTGTTGCTGTCTTGAAATAGAAAAAACAGATGATAAAAGACAACTACATTTTAGTTAAAGAAATAAAGATATAAAATAACCATCAAAGAGCTCGTGTTCTGGTGCCCTTCCTGGTAACGTGTTAAATTGCTTCCGCGTTCTACAACTTAGTTTCAAGTTTCGATATCAATCATCTCATTGATGATACATTCGTTTTAATCAGCATACGATCACGGTTCACGGAGGACCATTTTGAAACCATATCTTTTTGCGCCCAAGACTTTATTTAATTTGATAATTGAACGAAAACAAACGATGCACAAAATGGAAGCCAAATAGAAATCAGAAGCAAAGAAAAATCTGATAGATTTATATTTTTCTTTCTGAATGTTTCATTTTCTGGCGGATATAATTCCTAAAGCTTCTATGTGCTATGCACATGAAAACACAACGGCATCACTCAATTCTTAAATGGTTATCAAGTCTTGATAAAAACTGCCATTAGAGAGCATGCAGCTTTCAGATGAAAGCAGTTCGTCCACCCCTTCGACTGTGCCTATCATAGGCAGTGTTGAATTTGTCCACTAGCTCATTCATCGTGCTGGAGAAAGGGGAGGAAACGAGGGAAAATGTTGTGTTAAAAATCAAGGATGAAAGATACAACCAGAACACATCAACTGAAAAACCATTCTATAACAATATGGCCACTAAATTTGTTAATTGCAGTGTCTGCATATACTGTCATATGAAAGCTTCACGTATGCACAATGCATGTTCTAACTTTTAAGGATATAAATAGGTACTAGATGCCGAAGCCATTCCTAGAACCATCTTTTGAGTCAACAGATCTAGTTCAGTAACAACATTATATTTCATAGGCATGCAGCTGTACCGATAAGTTTTTGCTAGACGGGAGATCATGATTAGCCTCTACTTTGATTTCTTTTTCTTTGAAAGTAATACAATTAGGTTAGAAGTTTATAAGGTCAGAAAAGCGTCGCTAATCCCTATCTCAAATAGTCTGATTAATCAAGGTATGCTATTGACGCTCCTTGGGCTACATGTTCCCTCCTTAAATTATTTGTATTTATCTTAAGGAAGAGGCAATTGCATGGCACAATAATCAGAACTTTGGCTTGCCATCACAATATTGCCCCTTCAAGCCTTGAGACAGCCACTTTATGCAAAAAACACTGAAGGGCAGGAAAGCATCTAAATTATGCCTTCGGAATTCCACCTCAGTGAAACCGCATGCTGGCTTTTCTTTTTATTATCAAGATGTAGTCATGCCAAATTTATTGACACGAAAAAAGCAGAACCTGTTAAATGGAACAAAAACAAGACAGGTTTATATCACACAAAAGAACACCCATATATCATACCTTGAGCAGTTGGTGAACATGGCTAAGTAGGCGATCAATAGCGTGTCATTGTATTCCTGCAAAAAAAATTGAAAATCAAATCCATAGGTTAAAAATAACTTCATAATCCTAATAGTGTTCTCATAATCTGGCAAGATCTGAATTTGGAAAGCAAAACTGGTAAATGAGGCATACATTGCAAAAGCATGTGCTTACTTCTGAGCACATAGGTGGATAATGTCCAAATAGTATAATGCGCATTAACACTCTAACATGATATCGACTAGCATTTCAAGATTTATGGTACAACTTAATTAAAGAAAAAACATTTTTATTCATCTCTAGAATCCACATGATCAGTCTGAAACCAAGTGAAGATATCACTGTTTCATTACCCATCCCTTCACCAATAACCCTCATTTAATCATGCCCAAACTTCATTCGTACAGTCACATATATAATCACTATCAACTCCCTTGATATTAACAGACCAGGTTTTGACCATGGGCTTGTAGGGTAAAGATCAGCTCAGAGGATTGTGTAAGATGTGATCAAATAAAACCACACTTGATACCTGAAAACCTCTGGCTCTCTTTACTGGATTAATAAATTACATCTTATAAGAAAAACTCACTTCCCCTTTACAGAGACGGTCATTTTATTTTTTAAAGTCATCACAAGATCTTCTAATTAGATGCATATATTTGTCAATCCCTAACTTATACTAAGCCAATCTCGGTTTGAAGGTAGCATTTTAGATAGAAAAGCATCTGATGCACACTCCTACAAAAGGCTAAAAACAGTGACCATTATCACAGAAAACATGATAATTAATCTAAAAAAATAAACAGACATCACTCACCATCAAGAAATCATCTTGAAATTTTTCTGATTCAATGGCTGGCAATCTCCTTAAAAGACTTGATACTTGTCTCAGCAATGAGTTCTCACAAGGAATTTCACCTGTGTTCAAGGATGTACATGTGATTGATCTCAACTTTGAAACAGGATGCAAATGTAATTGATCTCAACTTTGAAACCCTCAATGCCAGCTTTTTTGAAAACCAAATACACGTGCTTCAAGCCCACAGACCTTTTCCCTTTTCTCTCTCTCTTTTTTTTCTTTTAATTATAATAGCAATGTAGTCCACCCACCAACACGAATTTTGCTCAAAATTGAGATGCACCCTTAAACAGGATTCACTTCCATATGACCAAAGGCCAATCACAACTAATATTTTATCAATTAGAGTAACGTAAAAAAGAACTAGTATCATGAAAAGGATGCAAACTAGTGACATAGGACATTGAAGACTCCAATCTACTTGATATTCATAAACCTGTGCTGGATAATTCTTTTGATATTCAACTCTTCTTTTCTAAAAGAAATCCTTTTTTGATAAATAGTTTGACTCCAACCAGCCAAAAAGATATAAAGGGCAGACTTTCTCATGCTAGTGATATGAACCATAGAGTATCTGAAGTCACATTCAAAATAAAAGTGAATGCTTTATAATGAGAAGGGGAGTTGTCAAGTTTTTCCCATTTTGAGAAATCAAAAGTACTTTTCATCATAAAGAAACGTTTATACCTTTCTGCATTGCAACAAGGTAGTGATGAAGCACCCTGATTCTGCTATTCAACATCTTTATAGCACTATGTATGCCTGTAAGGTGCGCAGCCACTGGAAGAAGGGAAAACCAAAACTGGTAACATGTACAGCAGAGGGGAAAAAAACCATGAAGATAAAACAGAATTAGGGAGAGAAGGGAGTTACATTGTGTAGCTGCAGAACCTCCATCAGATGGCTTAAGATGAGCAACATGATCAACTGAGATCCTTTCAGCTTCCACCGTCTTTAAATCCACACAGAAAGGCAATTCAGTAACTAAAGTAGGTAAAAGAAAGACTAACAGGTGACGCGCTAAAAGAAACATGACAAACCTCAATGGTGTAACTTGAACAAACAAAAATAAGCTGTGGAATTCCATCGATGACATGCAGCTCTGGAGTCATAACGACCAATGACCACCACACACACAATAAAAACACCATGAGTGAACAAGGTAACACCAAATACAAATCATACAACAGAAGCTTGCCGCCTTGAAAGCCAACGTTAGTATCAATAACAGCAATCAATCTATCTATCACATAGAGGTTAGGTTGCATACCACTCTCGTAAATAGTAACAGGTAAATCCTTTTGAGCAGGATTGATAGAGGGATTGAGCAGAACATAAACAGGGCTTTCATTAATATCCATCAGCTGTAACACAAAATTAAAAGAAAAAAAGGAGAAATTATCTACATGATTTGCACGAATGGATATAATAACAATGATGATAATGATAATAAAATGAAAAAAGAAAGCATACAGCTTTATGAATATGCATATCAGATTCCTCAGCATCGCTTCCAGTGGAGTACCATCCCAATATGTAAAAGTGTGGGAATACCTTCTTATCTGTTGTTCACACCAACAATCAATCAAAAAATAATTCTTATTTGAGCTACTAAACCCTAATTTATCAAAAATTACGAATTTTTTTTTACAGAAAATTAATAAGAGAAAAAGAAAAGGATTTTAATGTTTTAAATAAGAAAAAGAAAAGGGAGGAAAGTATAAGTAATAGATATTATACAGAGTTCTTGCTTCTTTTCGATGAAAGCGCGGTCGAGGGAGTGAGTGACAGGATCGTAAAGAAGCTCGAAGCTGTTGAAGATCTCGACGGTGCGTCCTCTCTGTACTCCAATCACGCAACCGTATACTCTGGGAGGGGGGGAAGCAGAGCCTCCATCGCTGCAGCCGTTGGTCTGAGACTTGACACGAGTGTAGTGATCGGATATGTTGACTATTACGAGCGGGTGTAGCTTGAAAGTCAGTCCGCTGCTAGACGAGGACGCCATTGTAGTAGCAGTACCTTCCTCTCGCTGCGATTGCTTGCTTGCGTTCTGCGTACGAGATCGAGGGATTTTTGGGGTTTTAGCTTTTCTTTTGTTTGAGTTAATGACTGAATCGGTAAATTTGGGTTTTCATGTGTTTTTATTAATTCTGCATTTCTTATATATTCACCTTAATATGCTGTCCGAGTTATTTATAACTAGTTTTAGTCCTTATAGTTTAACAAAACTAATTAATTGATCCTTGTGGCTTCAAAAACTCTATTTTCAATATTTTATGTTATATAAAAAGAATCGGATGCTCGCTTGGCAAGAATTCAACGTCACATGTATTGTCACTAGTTATTTGACCGCAAGTGATAATTTGTTTAAAAAATAAATTCGGTATGCAGGTTATTTTAATATATTTTTATATAAAAAAATTAAAATTTTATACAAACATGTAATT